GGCTGTGACCTTAACGTCACCTGCAAGGTGGGGACACGAGAGCCCCATGTCTGGTAGTGCTGGGACTAGTCATCGTGAGGTAATGCACAGGAAACCTCGACCCAGTGCCAGGCACATGGTGGTGCTTTACTAGTGCTGACCTCTAGTATTACTTTTAATCACCAATTTTGATTATTTTGGGGGGAGGTCTCCTTTGTATCTTAAATAAGTCTTCAAGGTACAGGGACGATCCAAAGAGTAGACCACATCACCCTCCTGGTTCCCAGGGGCAGACGCTTGACTCGTCCACTCACTGAGTCACCGCGGGGTGTGTAGCGTGTCCGGTCACTGAGGATGCCCTAGTTGTTCGATGGAACATTCTGTCTGGTGAGGTAACGAGTGAAACGGAGTTTAGGAGATTGCTTCAGACCCAGTGTTAGGTGACTGTGTGTACGACACAGGACTGGGAAAGAAGTCATCTGTGGAGCCGGAGCAGGTGGCCGGAGGCCCCTCTCTGGTTGGCTGAGAGGAGCCATGAGATTTCTGTGAATTCTTTATTACTGATTTAGATATTACATCTATGAAATAAGTGTCTGTTGCTTATTTACATCTCATGTGAAATTAATCAATGTTCATAAAGGAATATTCTATGTGACATTGTTAAACAAAAGGTACAAAACTGTCATTTTTATGAGCCTGGCACCTCCAGAAGTCCTTCCTCCAGAAGTCCTTCCTCCAGAAGTCCTTTCTTAGGCAAGATCTATGCCAACTGCAAGCGGGCTTGCAAGCCTGAAGGCAGAGGTCACTGCTATTCTATTTTGGGGCTGGTAAGCATGAGTAACTCAAGGGTCATATCTGTAAAGAAACAAGTGTCAACAACAAATTGACAACTATTTTTCAAGCAAAGTCCGATTCACTTTCAAAAGGTCAGTTTGGTAGTTTTCTTGAGTAAGTTCTGAAATCTTAACTTCCCATCTTTATATTTCAGATGAGCTTCGGGAAAACACACGCTTACTAAGTGTCAAGGGCACGCGTGCCCGTGGTAATTGACAGCACCAGCATACTCGCCCGGGAGGAATGCGGAGAGCCGGCCGTCCAGGTCTCAGCCAGCAGAAGGGCCGGAGCCCAGGGCTGCTCCTGCCGGCAGGGCGGCGCTGCTGGGAGCCAGGCTGGTCACGTTAAGATGGCATTTATAACTCCAGACATGCTGGTCGGGCAGAAACTGTGCTTGACAGACTTGTACTGAGTCAAGTGGGAACTCAAGGCCAGGGGGAATGTGTGCACTCACTTTGCATGGCCAAGCGCAGGTTTTCCAGTTACGTCTTGGTCGGGCCAACTTTCCCCGCTGTTAAAATGCAGGCCTGGCTCCAGCTGCACAGGTGCGTCTCGGCCTCTGCGGAGACGTGGTGGGCGAGCTCAGCACTCTCTTGCTCGAAGTCCTGGTGTCCGGGTGTAAGTGGGGTAATAATAGTACCTATGCCTAGTAGGCGATGCTGAGAATTCACTGCACATGTAGGCCTGGGTCACAGGCAGATGAAATGAACGGTAGTTATGATTGTTTTCATCCTAGAAGCCGGAAGGTGGGAGAGCCGTTTCCTGTGACCAGCCTTCACTTCCTGCTGCAGTGGTTCTGCAGAAAGGCATTGGTGTGGAGGAAGCCGGAGTCCTAACCCTTGCTCAGGCTTTGACATTTGGCGTTGGGCAAGGTCAGACTGAAGGGACTGGACTACCTCAGTGTCTTTCATTGGTTCATCAGAGCCCCAGGGCAGGTTTCTGAGACCCTAACCCTCCCCTCCTTGGCCAGAGCCGCTCTGCTTTCATCTCCTTTATACACTGGAATTCGATATGAAATCTCATTTGAAAGAAAGGCTGCTTATAAATAAAGTTTAAGAGTTATTGTATAATGTGACATAACTCTTCCAATTGCCAAAATGTATGGGTCTAAGTTGAATACTCTCATTGTGGAATTTTAGAAATAGACCTAATATACTGAAAAACTGGAATTAGGGGGAAAACTGAGAGTCAGAGTTCAATGAATTACCCTACTTTGTTTTTCAAGGTTGTGATAAGAAATGACCTCTAGTTGCACATTTCTCTCCCTCTTTTCTTCCTTTTCTCTCTTCCTGTATTCCTTCTAGTAAAAATTCAGAAAATCTAATATATGCCAGACATTGCACAGGGGACTAGGGGTTGAGGAGTGAGCCAAATGACAGTCTCTGCTACTTAAGAAACAAAGACAGTAAACAAGTAAACAAATGACAAACTGTGAAAAGGCTGTGAAGAAATGTACACGGTGAAGTGAGAGAGACGGACCTACTTGGCCAAGGTTGTCTAGAAAGGCCCTTCGGAGGGTGGGCTGCCAGCAAACACCCAGGCGGGCAGTGCCGAAGGCCGTGACCTCGTCCCTCATTCACCCCTCACTCCCCTGGCCTTGCCCTGGAGATGGGCAGCATAGTCACTGCACCCCTCAGCCCTCCCGTGGGCAGGGTGGCCACCCGTCACTTCTGACAACCGGGGAGGGAGGAGGTGCAGGGTCCAGGGCTAGAACAGGTGACCAGAGGTTCGATTTTTTTTTCTTAAAGAACTTAGCTACTGAGCCTTTGAGAGATTTTAATTTGCTTTTCCTATTGATTAGGAATTCTCAATAGAACAATAATCTTCTAATTCCTATATATATATATATATATATATATAATTATTATTTTTTGCATATTATGTTTTGAGTAAAAATCCAGCTACTTGGTTTAAAACTAAAAAAGTATAAAAACTGGTTGGGCTCTGGGGCCAGGCTGCTTGGATTCAAATCCCAGCTCTGCTAATTATGTGTGTGTGACCTGGGGCAAGTTATTCAAGAACTGTGCCTCAGTTTTCTTAGCTGTATAAAACAACTATACACACAAATAGAACCTTCCTCATGGTGTTGCTGTGAGGGCTAAATGTAACAGCTCAGCACAGTGTCTGGCACATAGTAGGTGCTTAATTAACAGTGTCATGCAATGGAAACCCAGGCAACCCATGACCGCACCCCTCTTCTCCTTCTGAGGATATAAACTGGGTAACTGAACCCATTATTTTTCCTTGAAAAACACACTTTATAAGAATAGATGAAAATACTATCTCGATATGTTGGTGAGTATGAACTGTGCTACGCTGTCTGAAACAGCCAATACCATAAACCAACATAAACCAAATAACAGACCCTCGTTTTTTTTTTTTTTTATCCTCACCCGAGGACACTTTTGCATTTTTTGTTCAGACAGAGCGGGAGGGAGAGAGAGGAAGAGAGAGAGAGAGAGAAACATCGACGTGAAGGGACACATCGAGTGGTTGCCACCCGCACGACCAACCAGGGCCGGGGACAAACCGCAACCGAGGTACGTGCCCTTAGCGGGAACCAAACCCGGGTCTCTCTGTACCGCAGGCCGACGCTCCAACCGCTGAGCCAAACCGGCCAGGGCCAGACCCTCGTTTTTGATGGTTTTACTTAGATACAAACCACCCGAAAAGGGGAAAGTGACCGCTGACAAAATTGCAGGGTGTGGTGGGTACACAGAAGGGGCAGAGCAGACCTGGTTAACGTTAGCCAGACCATTTTTATAATTCTCTAAATTTAATTGGTTAATTTGTCCTCCGTGGAAGTTCTGTTGGCCTTCAACATAATTGAGCTCCTGCTGTCAAAACATCACTTTGCAAAGGTGACTTGAAGACATCCTCTCAGTCACTTATCATAACAAACATCGTGGGTGCCTCTGCTCGAGGACCACAGTCTCCGTTCCTGCGTCTTATTTAGGACACTTAACGTAACACATGATTTGTTCCCTTACAGCAAGGTCTCCTTCTGACAGCCGAGATTCCACTTTTCTGCCGTAAGTAATTATAAATGTATACCTCTAAAAGGATTCCCAATTTGAGGGGCATAATCTATTTCAGACAGTAAATCACAGAGACATCTCTATCCCTTGGGCGACCCAAATGTACAACTCAGATGTATGAGCTTTCACTCTGAATTATCCGTATCTGAAGAAAAATGAATGTTCCACTTTCTCCCTGGGGCAGCTAGGGAAAAAAACACCCTGAAAACTGGCACCTTTGTTGGAGCAATTTATATTGGTTTCAATTTTTTTTTAAACCTCAGATACAGAGCTTCCATCTTCAGAATCTAACTCAGAAAATGGTCTCAGGGACTCCCCACTCGGAGGTTATTTGTCACTCCAATTACATACTGTAGATGCCCCCAGGTGCCCACCTCCAGCCGTTTCCACCCAAGATGCTTTTCTGTTCCTCCTCTCTACACTCTTGACAGTCACGTCCCCCGCTCACAGCCAGAAACTCGGGGTTCACCGTACAGCACCCGCCAACAAAGGGAAGCCCAGGCAGATTTTCATTCCTGCTTCCTTCCAACTTTTCCATTATGAACACTACTTACCGAAGCTTGGTGCTCGCCTCTCTTTATGTCAAGCATAATTGAAAAATTTAAACAAAAATAACAAAACAACCTCCAACTCCTCACTGTATCTTAACAACAAAAGACATGAACCTTAGTGATACTGGACTAAGTTGGCTTTACAACAATACCAGCAGCTGGGATTTGGCAGACTGTTCCAAGTGCTTCGCGTACAGTCTGCCTCACTGAATCGTCACGAAAACCTTCCAGGTGGGCATTGCCTGTGTTAGTCTGACTGTACAAATGCAGGAACCAACACTCGTAAAGGTCCCGTAGCAGGAACTGGTAGAGCCGAAATGAGATGAAGGTCAGTTTGACACCAAAGCCATGCTCTTACTCCTTCAACGATATTTTGTCCTGTACTAACCATTAGAAGAAGATGAACAATTTCTCTTTGTTCTCTTAGCTGTAAAGAACCCATCATTGCATAAAACGAGGCACAGGTTACTTCTTTTCAGTGTGTGAGCCTCAGCAATCAGCATTTAATAATAATAAAAAAGGCATTTCAAAGTGACTGATTTTCTCTATTTACGGTTAATTATTTTTATTTTATGCATAGCGTTTCTCCTAGTCCCACCTTGAGCAGTCACACTTCCGGAGGAGTCCTGGTGCTGCTCGGCTGGCTGCTGGCTGGGAGGCACGATGGGCGGGCTCAGCATGTCCAACCAGTCCCTGCGAAGACACGAAGAGAAGCGAGCCAGGTCTGTCATTCTGCCGGCAGCCTTTTCCTTCCCCGGGTTTTCAATTCCCTGGGGCTTCCACAAAGAAACATTTTTCCTCCTTTGTATTTCAGGAAGACGAGATGCTCAAAAATTAATATTCAGTTTTATAAATGGGTTAACATAGAGTAAATCACTTAAATAATGACAGAGCTCCTTGACTTACCACGGGTTATATCCTGATAAACCCCTCATAAGGTGAAAAGACTGTAAGTTGAAAATGCATTCGATACACCTAACCTGCTGAACATCAGAGCTTAGCCCAGCCTCCCGCGAACGTGCTCAGAACACACGTTAGCCTGCGGCTGGGCGGAATCATCCAACGCAAAGTACAGCGTCGAACCCTTCACATAACTTCCTATGCATACTGCTCTCGTATCACTGTGAAGCAAAAAAGTTGTAGAGTCGAACCACCATTAATTGGGGATTGTCTGTAGTTGTTCAATAAATACATCAACTAAATAAAGATGACCTTCTTCTCGAAAGCTTATTGTTGTTATTAAACTGTAGCATGGTTTCTCTCACATAAGAAAATTATTTCAATGACACGGAAGAAATGCAGCTGAGACAAAGCTCCTTATAACCTTTGGGTAAGGAAGCCTAACAAAGTCACACGTCACATGTCACACATGACGACACGGTGAGTCGAAGCAGAAGTTAGCCTTGGAGCGGTCAGGGACCGGCTGCACTGCTGGGAGTCAGCCTGTTAATTCGGGGTCTCTGCAGCAGCGGAGGCCGAAAGGAAGGAGTGAGGGGAGCCGGGTCCTTGAGAGACTCACCACTTCAGGTCTCCCGCTGAATGGGGACAAAACCACTCCAGAGCACCTCTCACATTCCCCGTCCCTCTGCCTCCAACCTCATTTTCCAGTCTCCTGACTGTCCTGCCTCCTTTCTTGTCTGGTCCCTGCGCCCCCTAGTAACACCTGGGTGAGTGTGAGTGAGGCGTGGCGTCCAGAAGATGCGCGTCACTGTGCATTCTACTTCGAGCCCTTGTCATCCCTACACTTGCCCCTGTGCTTCTTCAGAAGAAGGGAGCACACAGGGATGTGCAGACTTTTCCAACGTAAATTCTAGTTCTTGCATTGATATCATACCTGGTAGTTTACCTTATTCTTCTGAAGGAGCATGTCGTCATGACTAAACATTTTTTTCTCTACATTTCCGCACTTCCTATTGCCTTTCTCTTTAATGGGAGATAGTCCCAAGCAGTGACCGAGAGTACCGGCTCTCCAGGCCAGTCCACACTTCCTAACATAAGAAGTTGGCCAAGTCACTTAATTATCGTAAGCCTCATCTATAAAAAGGAGATAATAATAGTAACTCAGAGTTTTGTTAAGATTGAATTAAAAAATGGATGAGAAAACATCTGGCATGGATCTGGGTACACAGTTGCACTCAATAAATTTCAGCTATGACCACCATCATCTTCATTATCAATGAAGACCACAGTGTGACTTTACTGTCAATGACAAACCAAGTTAAGAACTGGATTCTGTTGAAATTAAACCAGTAAAGGATGGTAGAATAATTACAAGTCTATACAGTAGAGATTTTCCTTGCAAGCCATTCACTCCTTTTGTATAAAAAGTGCCTTAATGTAAAAATTACCCATTTCCTATTTTTGTAATATTTTAAGATACTTTCAGTAATGCTCACCTCAGCTATCACTAGATTATGGCTAGTGAAATAAGCAAGGTGAGCATGCTGTGTAATTGAATTTCATAATAACACATTAAGGACATCAAAAAGTATTTGTCACAGACTTCCAAGCTAATGGGGCATTTTCTGATAAGCATCTTTTATTTAGTCCATTTAATTACAGTAGATCCAAAATTCCTACATTATAGAAAATTACAAGGTCACACACAAATTACCAGCCTAGTGACCTCATTACTCAGTAAGAGTGATGGACAGCAAGGATGAACAGGAGGTAAATAATGTTATCATATGATGACACCCCCAGAGACACATTAGAAACTAAACACAATGGCAGTAGAAGCACCTTCTCCTGGTCCATGGACACGGGACAGAACGTTGGTGGGGGGTGTTGTGTGACAGTTATACAAAGCAAGGCACTTGCCTATTAGGCTAATGATTCAATTAATGTTTTTCCTTCTTAGCAATAGCCATGGAAAAGTATAGGGATCTTTTAGTAATTTTTATTTTTTCTTTAGACTTTAAAGAGAGAGAGGAAGGAAGAGGGAGAGGGAGAGAGAGATAGACACATCAATGAGAGAGAACATTGACTGGCCGCCTCCTGCATGACCCCTCCCCACTGGGGATCTGGCCCACAACCTGAGCATGTGCCCTGACTGAGAATTGAAGTGGCGACCTCTTGGTGCATGGGTCGACACTCAACCACTGAGCCACACCGGCCAGGATCTTTTAGTAACTTTTAAAAAATAATTTCAAGTTTATCAAAAAGTTGCAAGAGTACAAACAACTCCTATATGTCCTTCACCCAAATTCCCCAATTTAAACATCTGATCACATTTGCTTGTGATCTATCTACTTATTTGCCTTCCTGCCTATCATCATTTATCTATCTAAAAAGGGGTTAGCACACGATGGCCCATGGGCAAAATCTGGCGGGCTCACTGCCTGGTCTATACTGCCTGCAAACCAAGAAAGTTTCTACGTTTTTACATTTTTAAACGGTTGAAAAAAATTTAAATAACAATATTTCATGACACGATAATTATGTAAAATTCCAATTTCAGTGCCCATAAAATTTTTTTTGGAATGCAGACATGTTCACTAGTTTATGCATCATCTACGGCTGCTTTTGAGCTACGATGACAGAGGGAAGTACATATCTGGCCCTTTACAGGATTTTGATGGTCCCTGATGGAACCATGGGCTCACACTGACTTCCCGAGTACTAATACACCCCCACAGGTCCGTTCTCATCTCTCCTCCTCGCATGTTTGTAACTCCCCTCTGACTGCGCGAGACCTGGCTCCCATTATCCTCAACGTATTTACTTATTTTTTGAACTACAGAACATACCAAAAGTTGTTTCAGAATTGCTAAGCAAACAAAACAAATTAAACGACCAATATAACCCCTAACCCACTCTCTAGGGTTCTCTGTTTACAGTTTTTTTAAATTCTTTAGTCAAAATACTAGGTTAAAAATTTACTTGGTCTAGTTATAAGCATTTGGTGTGGTTATACAGACAGTCCCTGATTTACAATGTTGATTTACAATTTCGACTTTACAATGGTGTGAAAGCAATAAGCATTCAGTAGAAATTACACTCCAAATTTTGAATTGTGATCTTTTCTCGGGCTAGCAATATGTGGTATTATTTTCTCGTGTGACGCTGGGCAGTGGCAGTGAGCCGCAGCTCCTGGTCAGTCATGTGATCACAGCCCACACTCTACTGTGTGCTCACTGTGTTAGGTGCTTTTGTCTAACTGTAGGCTAATGTAAGTGTCCCGAGCACATTATGGTAGGCTGGGCTAGGCTATGATGCTTGATAGGTTAGGTATATAAAATGCATTTTTAACTTGGGATCTTTTCAACATATGATGAGCTTATTGAGTTGTAACCCATCGTAGGTCGAGGAGCATCTGCATTATTCATTTGGAATATAGTCATCAGCTTCTGTTTGTATCACATTTTTGGTTTTTCTTTCCATCTTTATTGATTTTTATTGCTTGTGTTGTTGTTGAGCATGTTGAACAATAACAGTTCAAAAGCCAAAAAGACACAGAAAGGCGTATTCTCTTAGGAGTTACATTTCCTGCATCCTTTTCGATTAGTTCCCTCCCCTCATCACACCCACGCCACCCACACCCACGCCACCCACACCCACCACTCTGTAAGTAATCAACTTCATTAGTTCTGGTGTCTCCTTTCTGTTTCTTTTTTCAAAAAATAAGCAGGTACATGTCTATTTTTTATTCCCCTTCTTTCCTGTGCAAAAGGTGGCACACCATAATTCATTTTTGCATTTCACTTTTCAACTTAAAATGTATCCTGGAAATCGGTTATACTAGTTCACAGCTTCCTCATTCTTATGGCTGCAAGTACTCCACTGGTGGATGTACTATCGTTCATTTTACTGTTCTCCTGTGTTTGGTATGTTCCAATATTTTGCATTACTGCAAATTAACTGCAAGATTATTACAATAATGCTTTAATGAATAACCATGGGCATATCTATGTTTGTACACCTTGAGATACATCTTCAAGGTAAACTGCTAGAAGTGGGATTCCTGGAACAAAAGGTAAATACATAGTTGGCTTTGTTAGATATTGACAAATCCCTCCATCAGTGTTGTTCACACCTGCATTTCCACCAGTAACGTGCTGGTTCCTTTACAGTGTCACAGGGACACGTTATCAAGTTTTTAATGCTTTCTAATATAGAGAGAACTGGAATCGTAAAGTGGTTTTAATTTGCACTTGTTTTCATTATGAGCATCAGGAGTGAGAGTGACTGTCATTTTATATGCATAGGCAAATTATGTAATATTCATGTATATCCATGTGGGTATTTTATATCTATCTCTATATAAATATTTTGTTCGTTTCTTTTGCTTCTTTTATTTTTTATCTTATTAAAAAATTGTTTTCCTTGATTGATTTCAGAGAGAGAGGAAGGGAGAGGGAGAGATAGAAACATCGACGAGAGAGAACATCGATTAACTGCCTCCTGCATGCCCCCCACTGGGGATCAGGCCCACAACTTGGGCATGTGTCCTGACTGGGAATTGAACCGGTGACCTCTTGGTGCATGGGTTGACACTCAACCACTGAGCCACACCGGCTAGACTGCTCTTCCTTTTATCAGTTTTTTTTGTCTCTTTCCCTTCACTTGTTATGCTTACTTTTTTTTTAATCCTCACCCGAGGGTATGCTTTATAAAAATTGTTAGAGAGAGGAAGGGAGACAGACACACACACACATACACACACACACACACACACACACACACACAGAGAG